AGGGGTTACATCATTAAAATTGACAAAATTTGACAACAAATTGAATTTTTTAAATTTGAAAACTGAGTATGCAGCATTGTTAATCTACTAAAAACTAGCATAGAACAGCTTTCCGAATTAAAATTAATGATTTATTGGCTTAGTTATGAGTTTTTTTAAACTATGATTTTTGGGAAAAATTGCCTGTTTTTATACCTTTTTGCAGGTTATTATAATTTTAGTCAGAAACTTATAACAGAATCAACAATCGCAGTATGCAGATTTGTTAGTGCTATAAAAACTTTCACAGAAAAGCTTTCCGAATCAAAATTAATGCTATTTTGGCATAAATATTATGTTCGGAAAACTCCGATTATTTAAGAAAATTGTCTGTTTTTATACCTTTTTGCTGAGTATAGCTTCAGTCAGAAGATTAAAACGCAGTAAAGGAGTCATTTCCGACCCTATAAACCATATATATTCTTGATCAGCATCAACAGCCCAGTCGTTCTAGCCATGTCCGGTCTAGAAATAAATTTTTGACATTTTTCCGAAAATTGAAAATTTTATAAGGGGTTACATCATTAAAATTGCCAAAATTTGACAACAAATTGAATTTTTAAATTTGAAAACTGAGTATGCAGCATTGTTAATCTACTAAAAACTAGCATAGAACAGCTTTCCGAATTCAAATTAATGATTTATTGGCTTAGTTATGAGTTTTTTTTAACTATGATTTTTGGGAAAATTTGCCTGTTTTTATACCTTTTTGCAGGTTATTATAATTTTAGTCAGAAACTTATAACAGCATCAACAATCGCAGTATGCAGATTTGTTAGTGCTATAAAAACTTGCACAGAAAAGCTTTCCGAATCAAAATTAATGCTATTTTGGCATAAATATGATGTTCGGAAAACTCCGATTATTTAAGAAAATTGTCTGTTTTTATACCTTTTTGCTGAGTATAGCTTCAGTCAGAAGATTAAAACGCAGTAAAGGAGTCATTTCCGACCCTATAAACCATATATATTCTTGATCAGCATCAACAGCCCAGTCGTTCTAGCCATGTCCGGTCTAGAAATAAATTTTTGACCTTTTTCCGAAAATTGTAAATTTTGTAAGGGGTTACATCATTAAAATTGACAAAATTTGACAACAAATTGAATTTTTTAAATTTGAAAACTGAGTATGCAGCATTGTTAATCTACTAAAAACTAGCATAGAACAGCTTTCCGAATTAAAATTAATGATTTATTGGCTTAGTTATGAGTTTTTTTAAACTATGATTTTGGGAAAAATTGCCTGTTTTTATACCTTTTTGCAGGTTATTATAATTTTAGTCAGAAACTTATAACAGAATCAACAATCGCAGTATGCAGATTTGTTAGTGCTATAAAAACTTTCACAGAAAAGCTTTCCGAATCAAAATTAATGCTATTTTGGCATAAATATGATGTTCGGAAAACTCCGATTATTTAAGAATATTGTCTGTTTTTATACCTTTTTGCTGAGTATAGCTTCAGTCAGAAGATTAAAACGCAGTAAAGGAGTCATTTCCGACCCTATAAACCATATATATTCTTGATCAGCATCAACAGCCCAGTCGTTCTAGCCATGTCCGGTCTAGAAATAAATTTTTGACATTTTTCCGAAAATTGAAAATTTTATAAGGGGTTACATCATTAAAATTGCCAAAATTTGACAACAAATTGAATTTTTTAAATTTGAAAACTGAGTATGCAGCATTGTTAATCTACTAAAAACTAGCATAGAACAGCTTTCCGAATTAAAATTAATGATTTATTGGCTTAGTTATGAGTTTTTTTAACTATGATTTTTGGGAAAATTTGCCTGTTTTTATACCTTTTTGCAGGTTATTATAATTTTAGTCAGAAACTTATAACAGCATCAACAATCGCAGTATGCAGATTTGTTAGTGCTATAACAACTTGCACAGAAAAGCTTTCCGAATCAAAATTAATGCTATTTTGGCATAAATATGATGTTCGGAAAACTCCGATTATTTAAGAAAATTGTCTGTTTTTATACCTTTTTTCTGAGTATAGCTTCAGTCAGAAGATTAAAACGCAGTGAATGAGTCATTTCCGACCATATAAACCATATATATTCTTGATCAGCATCAACAGCCCAGTCGATCTAGCCATGTCCGGTCAAGAAATAAATTTTTGACATTTTTCCGAAAATTGCAAATTTTATAAGGGGTTACATCATAAAAATTGCCAAAATTTGACAACAAATTAAATTTTTTAAATTTGAAAACTGAGTATGCAGCATTGTTAATCTACTAAAAACTAGCATAGAACAGCTTTCCGAATTCAAATTAATGATTTATTGGCTTAGTTATGAGTTTTTTTTAACTATGATTTTGGGAAAATTTGCCTGTTTTTATACCTTTTTGCAGGTTATTATAATTTTAGTCAGAAACTTATAACAGAATCAACAATCGCAGTATGCAGATTTGTTAGTGCTATAAAAACTTTCACAGAAAAGCTTTCCGAATCAAAATTAATGCTATTTTGGCATAAATATGATGTTCGGAAAACTCCGATTATTTAAGAAAATTGTCTGTTTTTATACCTTTTTGCTGAGTATAGCTTCAGTCAGAAGATTAAAACGCAGTAAAGGAGTCATTTCCGACCCTATAAACCATATATATTCTTGATCAGCATCAACAGCCCAGTCGTTCTAGCCATGTCCGGTCTAGAAATAAATTTTTGACATTTTTCCGAAAATTGAAAATTTTATAAGGGGTTACATCATTAAAATTGCCAAAATTTGACAACAAATTGAATTTTTTAAATTTGAAAACTGAGTATGCAGCATTGTTAATCTACTAAAAACTAGCATAGAACAGCTTTCCGAATTAAAATTAATGATTTATTGGCTTAGTTATGAGTTTTTTTAAACTATGATTTTTGGGAAAATTTGCCTGTTTTTATACCTTTTTGCAGGTTATTATAATTTTAGTCAGAAACTTATAACAGCATCAACAATCGCAGTATGCAGAATTGTTAGTGCTATAAAAACTTGCACAGAAAAGCATTCCGAATCAAAATTAATGCTATTTTGGCATAAATATGATGTTCGGAAAACTCCGATTATTTAAGAAAATTGTCTGTTTTTATACCTTTTTGCTGAGTATAGCTTCAGTCAGAAGATTAAAACGCAGTAAAGGAGTCATTTCCGACCCTATAAACCATATATATTCTTGATCAGCATCAACAGCCCAGTCGATCTAGCCATGTCCGGTCAAGAAATAAATTTTTGACATTTTTCCGAAAATTGAAAATTTTATAAGGGGTTACATCATTAAAATTGCCAAAATTTGACAACAAATTGAATTTTTTAAATTTGAAAACTGAGTATGCAGCATTGTTAATCTACTAAAAACTAGCATAGAACAGCTTTCCGAATTAAAATTAATGATTTATTGGCTTAGTTATGAGTTTTTTTTAACTATGATTTTTGGGAAAATTTGCCTGTTTTTATACCTTTTTGCAGGTTATTATAATTTTAGTCAGAAACTTATAACAGCATCAACAATCGCAGTATGCAGATTTGTTAGTGCTATAAAAACTTGCACAGAAAAGCTTTCCGAATCAAAATTAATGCTATTTTGGCATAAATATGATGTTCGGAAAACTCCGATTATTTAAGAAAATTGTCTGTTTTTATACCTTTTTTCTGAGTATAGCTTCAGTCAGAAGATTAAAACGCAGTGAATGAGTCATTTCCGACCATATAAACCATATATATTCTTAATCAGCATCAACAGCCCAGTCGATCTAGCCATGTCCGGTCAAGAAATAAATTTTTGACAAAAATCATTTTTGTTTCATTTCAAGACTGAGTATGCAGTTTTGTTAGCCCTTTTAAAACTAGCACAAAAAAGCTTTCTGAATTAAAATGAATGAATTTTTGGCCTAGTTATGATATTTAAATATCTTTGATTTTCTCAATAAATTAGCATTTAAAAATTACGATTTAATATACCTGGAATACATATATCAGATTTCCTTGGAATCACACAATGGCCTAGAAGCCAATGATTGCCAAAAGTCTTATACATATATATTCGATACGGAATAAGCCATTAGAACCAAAAAATAGAAATGAAAGCAACCGAGCAACAGAAGTTTTTTAACAACAATACACAAAACCAAAAAGTAAAAATATATTAAATAAACTGCTAAATTTGAATTCAAATTTAAATAGACTATCAGTACTCTCCCCACCAGTTAACCGAAAAATTTGAATTTGAATTTAAATTGCCGCCACGTAAGTCGATAAATATCGATGACGATAATTTCCCGCAATATAAGATTGACAAACTAGCTATATTTAAAAATCAGCTAAAGTATAGCTAAAGGGACAACTCTAATTTGTACCCTTGCACTAAAATTAAGCTGCCTTCTGCGGTTTCTGTTCGCCTGGTACTTTAGATCCAGAAATTTACAACTCTTTTACAATAAGTAAATAATTAACCCAGCTACGCTTGGCATTTCTCTTTAAGGGTGTTGTAATGCGACTTCGTATTTATGCCCACTCAAATAAGGATGCAACTTCTTTCATTTTTAATTAAATCGATTAATTTTCCAAAACAGCCCAAAAGATGCCCACATTAATAAGCTGTGCGCTTATGCGAATTTTAATTATTGCATAGTTTTGCGGTGTCCAATATGTAAAGACAATGTTTAATTGTAGCATACTTTTAAACAGAAGAGGCAACTCTAGTTGCTTGAGAACGGGTCGTTGCCATACTTTTCTATTTTCAACCCGCAGCATTGCCAGACACTAAACAGGAATAAAATTCATCGATAGTATCGATGACATCGATGCTCTTGCACAGTGCTGCCAGGCTATGACCACCCGTATAAGATAAATTCTGAGTAATAATTAGCTGAAACCTGTTTAACATTAATATTATTTTCCTTTGTCGGCGCAAGTACCATCAAAATGTAGAATAAAACGACAAAAACCAAACATCAATCAGCTATAAGCTAGCTGCAAGCTTCAAAAGCTCTCAGTTTTCAAATATCCCAGATGTAGCCTGAAGTTAGCTAAACCGACAGCTTTGGCATCTCTATCGGCCGATTCCATAGTATTATAGTTTATTATTTTAAATTATTTTGTAAGTATTTTGTCATGGACTTCGATAGTCCGGAGGAAATTCAGGAGTTTCCCGGCCTCTACGCCTCCGAGGCGGCCGATGCCAGGTCGAAGAAGAGCAAGGAGGAGAGCGACTGTAAGTAATAATAACAAACTTGTGGGCGTTTCGAACGAAGTGAAAAATCAATATACTTCCCTAATTTGCAGTGGAGGATCACGACCACAGCAAAAAGGACCTGTTGATTGGCCGGCGCAAGGACAAGAAGGAGAAGGGCAAGGACCGGGGCTACGCCGCCCTGGAGGGCGAGAGCTCACCCGAGGAGGAGCTGGACACCAAGTATGTGACGAGCTTGAGTTGCGCCGTTGAAAGCAAGATTAATTCATATATTTAACCCAAGGAGCCCCTCAAAGTCCAAGAAGTCCAAGACCTTCAAGTTCACCAGCTCCAAGAGCAAGGAAAAGCGTGAAAAGTCTCGTGACAAGGAGAAGTCCGAGCGGGAGACCAAGCACGTCGAGGAGGAGCAACCAGGCAAGGAGCACAAGGTTAAGGAGAAGGACAGGGATAAAGAGAAAGAAAAAGAAAAGGAGCGCGAGGAACAGAAGAAAAAGGACAAGAAGGACAAGGGCGACAAGAAGGACAAGGCCGAGAAAAAGGACAAAAAGGACAAGAAGACCAAACAGCTGTCGCAACAGCAGGACGAAGCAGAGGCAGAGGAGGTACTGGCCCTGGGCTATCCCGTCTTTGGGGTTTCTGTTAGCCTAGCCACCGAGCGCTCCCGTTGTCATGACGGCGTGGACCTGCCACTGGTGGTGCGCGACTGCATCGACTACCTGCAGAATCACCTGAAGTGCGAGCAGATATACAAGATTGAGCCCATCAAGACGCGTCTGATGCACTTTAAACGGTTGTACAACAACCGGGAGCACGATGCCGCCGTTGATGAGCTCAATTTGCCCACCGCCTGCAGTCTGCTGAAGCTCTTCCTGCGCGAGTTGCCAGAGCCGGTGCTAACCACTGATCTGGTTGCCCGCTTCGAGGAGGTGGCCTCGCATCCGAAGGTCACCGAGCAGCAGGCAGAGCTGCAGCAGCTGCTCGAGCAATTGCCCAAGTGCAACCGCACTCTGTTGGCGTGGGTGCTGCTCCACTTCGACGCGGTGATCCAGCAAGAGCGGTACAACAAGCTCAACGCCCAGTCGCTGGCCATGCTACTCAGTCCGACGCTCCAGATGTCTCACCGGCTGATGGTCGCCCTCCTCTGCCACTGCAACAGTCTGTTCGCGGGCGTCAAGCTGATAAAGTGAGTTAAATTTGAAGTTTATTTACTAAGTTTTTTGCTTCTTTTTTCGGTTTATATTTGTTTATATATAGATAAGATTCTGGCCGTAACTGCCGCAGATTTAGTCGATTAGTTTGTTGGCGAACGATCATGAGTTCGGTACCCCGTAAACAGAAACGGCTACCGTGCTTCGCCAGCTTCCTAATTAGGCAGAGGCAAATATCCAACACTGTGCAGTTGCTTTATTAACTAACCGTTCATCTTCTAGGTATGTGCCCCCCTTGACATCGGCCAGTCCAAAGCTTCCCGATCGCCCGGAAGAAATCCACACGGAGTTGCGAAAGCAGGACAGCCTTTTGGCTCAAATCCACAGCGAGATGAACGCCGGTTTCATCACCAAAAAGCGAGAGGAGCAGCTCTGGGAGGTGCAGCGTATTATCACTCAGCTAAAACGCAAGTTGCGTACCTTTGAGAAGAAGCAGGGAAAGTCGGCGGATGACATAGACAACAGCAGCATGCCGCGACCCGAGCCGGATGGCGAGGACAGAACCGATTCCAAGCCACCCCCAGCAGCTCCTTCCGTAGTTGCTCCTGCTACCAACAGTATTCCCTCCGAGGAGCCCTCGAATCCCAGCCCCAGCGACTTTACCATAGACCCCTCTACTGGCTTCATCGTGTTGCCCAGATCGAATCCTCACCGTGAAACTTTACTACGATTGCAGATCGAATACGATGAGCTGATGGATTGGGAGAACGAGCTCAAGGCTCGCATTTTGGCTGAACGGAATGAGTGCTACAGGCTGAAGCAATTGTGCGAGCAGCAGCAGGCACTTAGCATCCAAGCATCGGCAACGGGCGTGGAGCCAATGCCTCCGGCAGAGGGAGATTATGAGCGTATAATCGAGCACTACACACGGGAGAACGCGCTGCTTGAGCACAAGAAGCAGATGCTTGGAATGGAGCTGAAGGAGGAACGGCGGGCCTGCATAGCCCTGCAGGTGGAACTGCGACTTAAGCAGTTTTAATTTGGTAAAACTTAACAAGAATGGGTCGATTTTTAGAGAACTCAAAGCTCAAATAATTTTGAAAAGGACAACAACGACTATTTCGGCCATCTGCTAATTTTATCTCCATCAGCTTTTGGTGGACTTAAAACTTGCTGACAAATTCTTTTGAATAACCTAAAGGGTCAAACGTGAGGATGTGAGATATTAAATATCGAAATAATGAACAAACTATTTAAATGTTGAATAAATATTAGATAAAGAGTATAGATATTCAATATCACTCGCAAACTTCGGGCATTTAAATGCTTGAACGATTTTTGAATCACTAAACTGTTGACCACAAAGCGGGCTGTCTTACCAAGATAATGGAGATTATACTTTCTACATAAAATAATTCATTTTGATCAAACAAAATTGTAATTGTTGTGGCTTTGAATGAAATATTTTATAGTCAAATGTCATTTTCCACGCTGTTCACTTTTGAGAGTGCACTATAAACTATATAAAAGAAGAATTTGAGATAACTTCGAGAAGGCGAAGTATACCCTTGCAGTTAGCCATAGGATCATGGGCTCGAATCGAACATAACTAAACCACAAATGCATTAATCCTAGTTTGGAAAGTGTTTCTTTTTTAGCCATTGCAAATTTTAAGAATTTGTGACAATTTCAATGATGCCTTCGTGTAGCACCATTTTTTGCCTAGTTTTTGGGCAAATTCAAGTAACTAAGCCAAAAATGCATTAATTTCAAACCGGAAAGCTTTTCTGTGCTAGGTATTATTGGACTAACAAATCTACATACTGAGTTTTGAAATTTAAAAAATTTAATTTTTTGCCAAATCTTGACAAATTTAACGATGTGACCCCTTATAAAATTTTCAATTTTCGGAAAAATGTCAAAAATTTATTTCTTGACCGGACATATCTAGAACGATTCGGCTGTTGACACTGTAAGGGTATAAAAATTGGATTTTAAGCACAAGTCGTTTAGTTGGAAATGACATTAGAAAGTATATTTTCCCCGCTTACGAATTGATTTGTTAGGTGAATTGACTGCAACTGCCGATGCCGGTTGCTTTTGTAAAAATGGGTTGAACTATTTGAAATCTCAGTGTCTACATATGATCAAATGCTTGGTTTTAAATAAATGTATTTAAATGTTAAAAAAGGCTCTTGCCTGAAAAGCGCAAATGAGACGTTTTATTGATTATTTGTTTTGAGAAATGTCGTTCTAGCCAGGGATCTAACCATTCCAACATTTTTGAAAATAATTTTCTGTTTATACCTTTTTGCAGGTTATTATAACTTTAGGCATAAACTTATAATTGCGTTTTAATCTTCTGACTGAAATTATACTCTGCAAAAAGTTATAAAAACAGACAACAGAAAATTGTTTCCAAAAATCATAGTTTAAAATTCTCATAACTAAGCCAAAAAAACATTAATTTCAATTCGGAAAGCTGTTCTATGCTAGTTGTAACAAAGCTGCAAACTCAATTTAAAATATAAGAAAATTGAAATTTTTATCAATAATTGCAAATTGTAATGATGTAACCGCTTACCTTTTTTGAAGTTTAGAAATTTCGATTTTTGGAAATAATAAGAATTAAACCATAAATACATTATTTTGATGTCAAAAAAGTTGTAATTAGCATATTGAATTTATTCTTCTTATATTAAATTTTGACATTTTTAATAATAAAACATAGTTCGAACTAGGTGGTTGATATTTAGATGACAGACACACCCTCTCAGCTCACTCTCAGCTGTTTCGAATCTGTAATTTGCTCGACAATCAGAAACCAATTTTCTAAATCAGGCTGATGACTTAATTCCGATGTGAGCAATACAGGGCAGAGATTAGAAGATCAGGGTGCCGGTGGCGTATGTAGACGATGGATTGATTGTTCGCTGGGGTAAAGCGGAAATGAAATCATCGCTTATTACGTCGACCCATAAGAAATTGTGATGGTCAAGGAAGCCACATTGTTGAGTGGTGCGTGTTATGATTACTTTATTTAATATTTAAAATTAATATTTATAGAATACATTATAATTATGCATTACGACGTTCGGGGCTGTTCCGTATTCCGCTGAAGTACAACTTAAAAATATCACACACAAATACCACGCGAGAAAGAAGAGTCCTCCGGCATCCCAAACCACGTGCACTCGTTCTCCTTCATGATTAAGTTCTTTCCGGACTGAAATCGGTGGATCGAAGGCTTTACGGACACTCCTTATCGCTGATCTTTTGAAAGCCTACCAGAAGAAATAATCAAGAGTACATTTGAATGGAAATTAAGATTGAAGAAAAAGCAACTAAAGATAATTATAAATTAAGGATACCTATTTAATATTGGGATATTATTAGATACCTTCATACTTACTTGTATTCTGCAGGCAATTCTCCGTCTTCATAACGCACAGATTCCGGAAGGTCCTGGTTGTGCCCTTGTCATCCGCGGCACAAATCGATTTGATCTCCGCTGTGTCACACTCCATGGCACACTTGGCGTTCGGATCGGGCAGGCTGAGGCACTGGACCAGCGTCACGGCGTACAAAGCCACTGTTTAAATAAATATACATAGATGTTGGGTCGTATTAGTAGGCAGGAGGCGTGCGAAGAGAATCACCGCCCAGTTAACCGGACCCGCATACAAAGTGCTCTGATCAACCCAGCCCGGCACATGATATCACCCACATCCCACATCCCCACCATCGTCAGTATACGCCCATCGATTCCCCACGACGCCAGTGCGTCTGGCACTGCCACCGCTCTCGTTCCCATGGACAAGGGAGGTTGGAGCGCTGGGACATGGGCCAGCAATTGGAATCAATGGTTATAGTGCTGCATGCCTAATTGGCCAAATCGGAGAATCTGCCTCAGCAAAAGCTTGAAATTTTCCATTCACAACTTTTGCGAGTGCATCTCAATGAAGTTCATTCTGCTCGTAAAAAATATTGAGTTCCCTACCTATTATCCTTTAGTTACATTCAAGTTTTCGCTCAGCTAAAGGCCATCGTCTTAGTGGGTCACATTCTTTCCGTTCTGACGCCGAGTTCCTAATCATTATTGTTTCTTATTTACAAGATTAATAGTAAATACATGAGTCAGCAATGTGAGGCATTATTTATATGGAAACAATGTGACTTTAAATTCGGTTCGTTCACTATGGTCTGATTTAAATAAAAATGGACATTAAAGCAAGAACAACATTATAAATAATTGCAGCATTTAGTGATAACAGTTCTAGGAAAATTTTTTGAACCTTAAATCTTTTCTATTCATAACGAAAGAAATTCCCTTGAACTCTATGAATTATTGTTTCCAAAACCAATGTGAAAGCTACTCTTGGCCACGCTGACTCGTTTTAAAAAATAGTTTTTGAACTACTACGACATTATTGTAAATTGTAACTTTTATATATAGAAATATTCAAGTAGTTTTAATTTGATTTTTTACGTACATGCCAGCAATACTGCAAACAGCTTCATTTCGCTACTTTTCACTTCCGATGGCGATGGAGACGATACTTCTCACTTCAACTATTTCCGAGCACACTCCGGGCTTTGCACAACCGTATTCGCTCTGCGTGAACCTTGCGGGTCAGACGAATTAATTATGCCGTAGTTGGTTGGCTGCTTGGTTGCGAGTTGATTAAAAACGTTTTACGATTTCACGATTTGTGTATAGATTCAATGGAATATAATTATATATATTCGCTAGATTTGGGGCTTGTCACTGAACTCCGCACACGTGTGGCCGACAGTGTTTTGGTTCTTGATACGTATATAGATTTATTCGCGCACGATTTTTGATTTTGACTTTGGATCCGATCCGACTCACTCTCTATCGGCGAGGCCGCACAGCACGCGTCCAAATGCGAACTGAGACTGAAGGCGCCGACCGAAGATATCCTCCTCCAGCGGACGAGTGGGCGATGCGATGCGATGCGATTGACTGACTCTGTGACTGATTGATGGCTTGGCGGCTGGACGTTGGCCGTTGGTGGTTGGGTTTGGTATTGGTATTGGTATTGGTATTGGTATTGGTATTGGAATTGGGATGCTGTCCCCGCTGTCCGCTGTTAGATATGGACACGATATGGATGACGATGCCAATGCAGTTTGATTTTCAGTTTCGAGTTTGGTTAGGGTTTGGCCAGGAGTTGGGGACCTGGCTCTGGCTCTGGCTCTGGCAATCAATCAATCAGGCAGGGCAGTACTATGCGATGCTGTGCTCTGCTCTGCTCTGCTGCGATGTGCTGTGCTGTCCCACCGGCTATCTGTATCCGTATCTGTATCTGTAGCTGCCGTCTGCCGTCGTAGAGCACGAATGATGTCCGACCACACAGTGCCTGTTAGTTTTATAGAATTTTTTCATGCTAAAAAGATTTACGCTCGTGTCGTCGTCTTCAATTTTCTTTTTGTTTCTCCGCACATTTCGCCTGTAGTTGTTTCTGATTGTTTTTTTATTTTTATTGTATTGAATTTTTCTTTGTGGCATCAGCATCAGCATCAGCATCGACAGCGACAGCGACATCGCCATCGACGTCAACGTCGGAGTCGGCTTGATATTGTATTTGCGGCTGCTGGAACACCGAATTCGGATGGATCGTTTGATCAATAACTCTACAGGCTGGTCACGTTGTCGGGGTCCAACGAGGTCCAACCGCTGCCGCTGGGATTTTTGTGTTTGAATTATTCATGTATTCCATGCAGTCGCTGAAAAAGTCTCTCCTGCCCGCTTAGCGTACCGCTCGATACTGAGATGCTGGGGATGCTGCGGCATCTTCGAAAATTTCGTCAGCATAACCGAGCCGCCTCGGCACCCGGTTATCAGCGCGACGATAGAGAGGGAGAGAAGTCGAAATACTAAATAAATAAAAAATCAGAGCAAAAAATGTGAAAATTGTTTCAGTTTGGCGACGGCCACGAGTTCACTCCACTCGCCAATGTCTATGAATTTTCTTTGATGATGATGCTTCCTCGCATACATATAGTATGTGGACGGTATGCTCGTTATTTATGGATACGCGACGCATTTGATTTAGCATTTTCATTAACATTTTTGGGATTTTTAGACTTATCAGCTGCGTCGCAGGCGATTAACTCACCACAACCACATCTCATTCAATAATCGCACTCTCAGTGAGCATTATTATTCGACGACTCCTTATCATCTTTGAGAAGGTGTTTTCCATGGGGCTTTACCTACTGGATGTAAACAAAAGGCAGGGTAAACAAATGAAGTCACTC